AAGTTGATGCAAAAAATATGAGATTGAAGGAGAAGTGACTTCACAGAAATTGCTGGTTGTTAGGCGGGATGAGTAATAGTAATTCGGAGCTGCTTAGTTTCCGTTAAGAAGATTTTTGTAAAGCGTTTTCTAATCCTTTTTGAAAAGCCTCCTTTTCCTTTCTGCAAATTCCAGAGGAACTTCCTCTTTTGTGTCTGTTATATGCTATACTCAAGCCACTCTTTAACATCATTACAGTTTCTAAGGCTTCTTTAAATAACATGACATGTGGACTAAAGTAGAGAGAGATGCAAATGAAAGTCCAAAGAAAAGAACAAATCTATTCAAAAAATCGTCAGGCAGATAGCTACAGCAGCATGGTAATAAAAACCCTCTCCTATTGAGAGTCACATTGAGATTTAATGGAAAAGCCGTTCAACCAACCTTTGATGTGGAATATGGAGATGTCACCCAGGAAACCAACACAGTTATTATAACTAAGTACACAACCAAGGAACTGCTACGACTACTCTACCACGTAATTGGTGTACAAGAAGGTCTAGCAATCTTAACAATTGAATCAAGAGTTGAAACGCACATTACGATGACTTTTTAACTCTGTCAATTCGCCAAAAGCGCACACATCAACTTAATGTAATGAATATCGATCCGAAGAATGACAATAGCAAGAATATACGAATAATAAAAGCTGGGAGTTCAAGGTAAAAGACAAATCCCCCACTCATCCTCACGATGCGCTACAAATCACTAATAATCAGCTAGAGTTGCATATTGAAGGCTTATTCATGCCTATCCCCATTTCAAAGAATAAGTTCGCCCCCTCGCCATCCGCTGACATGTATAATTCTCGAGGGAAGTAAAAAAATAAACGACTTCTTGTCTTCAACTATGGTCAACAACCATGACAACTTGACATTCTTGGCCCTCTACATCGCGAATCCTCATAAAAAGTAAGTATTTTGCTCTTCGAGTTTGAAGCTCAGAAGATCTGATCGTTCCCATGTGAATTCTTATGGGGCAATTGATTTATTTCATGAATACAATTGCATCCGACACTGTCAATTCCAATTTACAAACTTTAAAAAAATTCTGAACAACCTGTTCTACTGAATTCAAATATAGAAACTGTATTTACGTGATCGCCCTGATTGCGTGTTACACCACGCCACCCAAACACAAGTTCAAAAGTAGAAAGTCAAAGAATGCTAGAAGAAATCTATTTACCTGCATATGT